TACAACCTTCGCAATTTTGAACCATGCAGTGTTACCCTGCTCAATTCTGACTACTGCCTCTTGGTCCAAGTATAGGTTTCGCATTAGCACAATTAAATGTTCTGGGATCCCCATTCTTCTCAGAATCAGCCACAGTTTGTTATGATCCACACATAAATATCTCTATAGCTCTATCTCTCTATCTATCTAGGAGTAAATCAGATGATCCAGACTCTTCGACAAGTGAAGTTATTACTGAAATTGATAAAAATGCCAACATAATCACACAGAAATATTGTGTTATTGAGATGGATTTAAGATGTCATTTAAAATGGTTACTTCTCTAGCAAATTACTGTAATTTTTTTTACTTGTACTGAATTGTCACATATTTCTCTAGGTATCTTCCCCCCCCCCAATATCCTGGGTCCTAGATCCACTGTGTTAAGGCAAGTCCTGGTAGTATAAAAAACAATGTAGGTGGATAAGGATGTGATTTTAGAGTTGGTGTCATAGTAACACTTTTACCACAAGTAACCTAAAGTGATAAACAATTTCACTGAAAAGTGGAAAGATAGTGTCACAAAAATGAAGTTGTCATAAGCACCTTTCACTCTCTGCATTTAAGTTAAATAAAGAATGTAAAAATCTACCGGGTTAAGGAATTAGAACCAAAACCAAGGACTATAAACTTCATTAGAGAAAAACGTGGAAGAACTCTAGAAGCCCTAATCCACAACATAAACAATATTCCAAGCATCCTGTAAAACCTACAACCTGGAGAGGATAAAACAGATGAATGAGATCTTTTTAGAATAAAATACCTATGCACATTCTCCAAAAGGGTAAAAAGGGAAGTGACAGACTGGGAAAAAATATTTGCTTTTGACATGTGAAATAAGAGACTTAAAACTAGAATTTATAAAATACTCAAGCTCCACAAGATAAACTACCCAATTGAAAAAAACAAAACAAAACAACAAAACAGAATATGAACAGATGCTTCACCAAAGAAGACATTAAAATGGTAAAGAAACACATGAAGAAATGTTCAAAATCCCTAGCTCTAAGAGATGCAAATCAAGCAACCATGAGATATCATCTCGCTCCAGTAAGAATAACAAAATTTAACAGAGCAGCAAGAAGCAACAAATGTTGGAGAGGTTGTGGAGAGACTGGAACCTTTATTCATTGTTTGTGGGAGTGTAAAATGGTGCAACCACTATGGAATGCAGTATGGCGCTTTTTCAAAAAGTTGTAAATAGAAATATCATTTGACCCAGCAATTCCCCTACTGGGAATATACGCCAAAGAAAACATAACCACCACCCAAGCAGATATATGCACACCCATGATTATTGTGGCTTTGTTCAGAATAGTTGAGAGTTGGAAACAACCTAAGTGCCCATCAACAAACGAATAGATAAAGAAGCTCTGGTATATGCACATAATGAAATACTATGCTGCATTGAAAAATAAGGAACTCATGAAATATTATACAAACTGGGTGATAGTATGCTGAGTGAAATATCTCCATCACAAAAAGACAAATATGGCATAATGCCACTGTTATAAAACAGGACTGACATTGGGACTTGGGGGGAAACAACGAAAAAAGGGAATATATATATGATATTGAAGCAGATGAGGGAGAGAATTGCATAAAAGGAGTTACGATTAGGCATTATTAGCATGACTAGAGTCTAGAATAAGAGCTGCATAGTAAAGTGGTCAGGGGTAGGGGTGGGGTCTGTAAAACAATGAAGGAACTTTTTCCCCCCCCCCAAGAAAAAAGCGATCTGGGAAGTGGAGGATCAGAAAGGAAAATAAGCAACAATGAGCAATTGGAAACCCAAGTTCTTTATAATGTTTCATTAAAATCTCAATTAAAAAATTTAAAAATCTACTGCATTAATGTTGTGAAGCAGTTTACCTTAAAAAAGAAATACAATGATGTGTATATGTTCTTCAGGTGACTTACTTATGCTGACAAAAGGAAAAATAAAGTAGCATTTTGGGGATAAATATATCTCATTATATCATTCATGTGAAATTAACATTACAAATATCATAACTGATTTTGTAACAAAAAAATTCCCTTTCCTCTGCATGTTAAAAAAGCAACCAACCAACCACACCCAACAACAAAAACAGACTAAATAAATTATAACACTATTAGCCCCAAACTACTATAAAGCTAAATAGTAGCTGAAAAGCCTTCCATGAATACAGAAATTCAAAACAATTTTGAAATCTTGGAGTCAGTAATCATTCAATTTGGGACCTTAAGGATTTTAAAAGTGTTTAGTAGAGAGAATCCAATGAAGAAATCAGACACCAGAATTTTCCATCTATGATCCCAGTACAGATTCTTCAATTTGCCTCCCGAGAGGCTTAATGCGGTTTGTTGATTTTTTGTTTGTTTTGTTTTGTTTTGTTTTGTTTTTGTCTATTTTATTTTCTTCCTGTGGCAAGTTATAGCTTACTCTACAGATCTGAAAGAGTGATTCTTGTGGGTGGAAGTAAGAGCACACTGGGGACATATGAGTAACATGTGCTCTTCACAGAACAGGAACAAAGGCTGCTTGTGCTTTTGACACAGTAGTTGATTTTTCTTTTGGAATGTCTCACTCTTTTTTGGAGGACAGAGCTTAAAAATATCAATCAGGTGACCTAGTTGTATGTTCCTGATATAATTCTTGCCTGTGCACTGGTGACGACAGACAGGACAGTATGGAATAACCTGAGTCATGCAGTACAAGTTAAGACAAATTTGACAGAAATTATGACCAAAGTCAGTGGTCACTGGGAATTGCAGAAAATCTGAGCATGTGGGACAGCTGGTAGAGGACTGAATTTTGGCTGCAAAGGTCATTATGTTGTCTCAGTTTCAGTCTGAGGAAAACTTCTTTCAGGTGGCCTGTTAATCCAGTAGCTGGGAAAAGGCAGAAATAAAGTTATCAATTTTCCTACTCCACACCCTAAAGATAGTGTCAAAAAGATCTTCACCCCCTCAAGAATGTTATTCTCTTTTTTTAAAAAACAACAACTCACTTAATCTTATTTCTCTTGACTCATAATTGATTCTCTAGTTGGGTTTTCAGGAGCCTGTCAATAAAGCGGAAGAAGTTTGTCCATCTGTCTCCTGAGGAACCATTGGTGGATCTGAATCAACAGAGAGGCTTTATTTTTGTGTTATCTTTTAAACTTCCTATGGATTACACCATCAGAGCTCCTTTCCCTTTCCCAAAGAGTTTCAAAGAAAGTCACAACATCCTGTCAATGATATAATTTTGGTCACTTTCTATTGTGACAGTTAATGGGTCTTTCTATCAGAAACTAGCTCTGGCCTCTATGTATAGAAAGATGTACAATTAAAGTGCAACTAAACTTTCAGCTCTGGTGGCCTAGTGACAAGAAGCTATGCTGCAATCCCAAAGGCACTGGTGGTTCAAGAACTCCTACTGCTCTGTGGGAAAAAGATGGGCAGTCTCCTCCATTGTGATTAAGTGCCTCTGAAAACCCGTTCAGAGGGTCAGTTATGGGTCAGTTCCGACTCTGTGGTACACAGCAACAACAAGCAAACCTACTCTACCTTTCCTTCCTTCCAATACATATTGAACCTTAGACTGGACAGAGTTTATATTAAGAGAATATTTAAGGAATTATAAACACTATTTTGCAATATGCCAGGGTAATTATTATAAGTATTATTATAGATATTGTGTTAAATTAGTTTCTTTACAGATGCAAAACAATGAAAGCTTAAGATATAGATACAAATAATGTTTATATCAAAGACATTACTCACAAATTGTAGACACGCTCAAGTCCCTAGTGCTAGGTTCAGAGCTCAGATTATGTGAGTCTTTTAACTCTGGGAGGCTTCAGTCACTGATTAGTCCAAGGGCAGCAGTTAAAAAGTCAGGGTGTTGGCCCCCAGGATTCAAAGGCTAACAGCTCCCAGGATGAGCAAGTGATGCAAGAAGTAAAGTGGGCAAGAAGCAGTTCTAGGACTTTTGTATATAGGAGGCAGAAGCCACACCCTCAAAAAAACTGGGATCAGTTGGTGATCTAGTCAGAGTAGGCACCTGCCACTGTTTTGATTGTTGATACTGAAGTGTGTCTCTTTTCACAGGTTTAGACAATCCAATCCATTGTAATTCCATTAAATGAGACCCATATGTATGGTCACAATTTCTGGCCTGTTTGTGTTTTCTGGCCTAAAGTTCAATTTGTATTGGAAGGAAGGAAAGAAAGGTAGATTAAGTTTCCTTGTTGTTGCTGAAGAGATTAAGTCCTTAACTGTAGAGAACAGTATCATGTGATCTCTAGCCTCAGTTTTGTATCTAGGAGAAAAGAAATAGATGCATATACTTAAGGAGTCAAATATTTGTTTCAGAGACTTACAGTAGCCTTCTGAAAATAACTTTCAATGCTTATAAGCATAAGTGATATTTCAGAGTAAATGGCATTATCCAGATTTCTTTGCAGTTACATATGTAAATGTAACTAAATTCTAGTCAATAAGCTTTCAACAAAAGTATGTGGACTTGTTTCTCAATGAAAGAATATGCCCTTTTTCAGTCTCACTAAATGAATGGTATTTTGACTGAAGACATTGCCAGTGATTATGCAGCTATCTTGGACAACTTCAGTAGATAAAGCAGAAATCTAGAAGAAAGATTTTAATGTAAAAATCAGAGTCAAAAGAATTATCTCATATACAACCTTAAAATAAATGTATCTTATTGCAGCCATTATTATTTGGCTATTTGCCGTATTTGATACTTCCGTATAATCCAATCTATATCAGTGTGGTAACCTTCACTTTATACAGAGAGTAGACAAAGAAAAACCAGTTAAATATGGTAACATTACAGAGTGACTGAGCATGGATCTAAACAAGATTAATCTGATTTGAGGGAGCTTGGTGGTGTAGCTCATAATGAATTGTGCTGCTAATTCAAAGGCTGCTCTTCACTAGTGATTCTGATTCACTAACAACTCCATAGGAGAAAGATGAGCAGTCTCTTCCCACTTCAATTTAAAACCCCTGAAACCTAATGAAAGGTTGTTCTGAGTTGGAACCACCTCAATGTCAGTGAGTGATTCTGTGAGTAATATGATGTGAAGGAGCTCTGGTGGAGTAGTGTATTACATATTGCATGATTACAGAAAGGTTAATGGGTAAAGTCAGAAGCTATGGTTAATATTTAATAGGTTACTAGATAAAATGGGGGAAATGATGGGAAATTTAATCCTGCAGCTATTTCTATCCTCAGAATCACAGCAGAGGATCATTATGAGTCAGAATTGATTGAGGACACTGAATTTGAGTTTTGAATTGTTTAACCTAACTTTAGAAATTCTTCCCTTAATGTCTAAACAGAACTATTGTTGTTGTTGCTAACTTATAGTGACCCTATGAAGGAGAGTCCTCAACGCTTGGTTGTCTTTCATCCTCTCTCCAGGTTCATGGGGTTTCCAGAGGCAAGCTATTATGGAAGTGGATGCCACTCCTCCTTCCAAGCTTCTTTTAATCGGGGAGTTTCACCATGGTCCGCCATGGGTAACCAACCATTAATGCATTTGACACAAACAGAACTATTACTAACTAAAAATTCAATGAGTTTTTATTTTAATGTTATAAACTAATACACTGTAGAAAAATACCTATGGTTCTGAGCTATCCATGAATCTGACATATAAAATACTGGAAGTAAGCATACGATTCAATTATTTCAGAAGATGAATGGTTCAGGTAATGGTATAGAAAGTACTTTTGCTAAGTGCCATCAAGTCAATCATGACTCGTAGCAACACTAGAAGCAACAGATGTGAACCTTGCCTTATATCATGCCAACCTCACACATCTGCCTTTCTCAGGCCACTGTGTCAATTTATAGCATTGAGGCTTTCCTTTCGTTTGTCAACCTTTTCAGATTAAAGTATTTTTTCTGAAAGACAAGCCCCTCTGATATGCCCAAAATATGTAAGACAATGTTTCATGATCCTTAAATCTAAGAACAACCTTGGTTGCATTTCTTCAATACAGATCTTTTTATTCATTTTGGCAATCCACAGTGTATTCAATACTCATTACCAACACAATTCAAAGACAACAATTCTTTGGTGTTCCTTATTCATTATCCCACTGTTCGATGCAAAGGAAGCAATTGAAAATACCATGGCTTACAATCAGGCTCACCTGAGTCTTTAAAATTAAATTCTTGCTCTTTACCACTTCAAAGAGTTGAGAGAAGCTTTGACTACGCAACTGTGATTCCACTGACATGACTAGTATGGGTGTTGATTATCATTTAAGTAACATGGAATTATTGATTCCCATCTTTTCTCCATTTAATATGGCCCACTTGTGAGGAGTCTTTTTGTTTGTTTGTTTTTTTATTTTGTTTTGTTTTTACTTGTTGTATGCCATTGAATCGATCCGACGGGCACAGGAGGAGATCGCCCCTCTTTTTCCAGCAAAGCCTCTGGTGTATTTGAACCACATGCCTTCAGGACTGCAGCACAGCTTCTTACCACTAGGCAGCCATAGCTCCCTGATTTTTGTTTTCTTGGTGTTTTGTTGTAACACATTTTGACATCTGTAGTCTGATTTCCTTTGGTAAGTGCTTCAAGTCTTCACTTTCTGCAAGCACATTGTGTCATCTGCGTAACACCATCTCTTGATTAATCTTCCTGTAATGCTAATGCCCCGTTCTTCTTCATATATTCGAGTATCTCAAATGATTTGTTCTACATATATACTGAGTTCTTATGGAGGAAGGAGACATTTCTGAAACATCTTCCCTAATTTGGTATCTGTCATTGATTCAGAATCAGCTCATTAGCTGACTCTCCTGTGTTTCTCCAGGGTTTCAGAAACTGCAACTCACACAGGACATTGCCTGTCTTTCTTTCTGGAGCAGCTGATGGACTAGAACTGCATACCTCTATGTTGACAGTGCAACTACTTAACATTAGGTATCAAGTACTTGACTTAAAAACATGCCAGTTGCTTTTGTTCTATTTAAATTGTTTCTTCTTGGTACATGTGTAGGTTTCACATGTGCACAATTATGAATTCTGAAATAATCTGTATTTGATATTTAAGGATCAATCAGTAATCTTCTCACTAAGCAAAATTATCCTACTCAGAAAAAATTTAATTGGAAACATGAACTTAACAACCATGTAATTTTGTAATTTCTTCTCTTTTATACTTATCAATGCTGATTGATAGTGCAGATTAGTATTACTTTCCTTTTGTTTGGTGGGTTTATTCACACCAAAGCAATTACTGTTCAACATATAGATCCACCTGACAAAACCTATTAAAAGAAAATCAGAGTGATCTGCAGAACTACTATATAACACAGAGTGGGAACACTGAAGTAGAATGGCTGCATTCTACAAAGGTGAAGCATAGTTTATCACAGTAAATTGAGATTTGTTGTTAGATGCCGTAAAGTCAAGTAGGACTCATAGCGACCGTAAGAACAACAGAACTGAACTGCATCCTGTCCTGTACCATCCTAATAATCTCTGACACACATGAACCCATTGTTTTAGTCACTGTGTCAATCCACTTAGTTTAGGGTCTCCCTCTTTTTTGTTCTCCCTCAACCTTCTGAAGCATGATGTCCCTCTCCAATACGTCCAAAGTATGTGAGATAAAACTTTATAATCTTTTCTTCCAAAGATTTTTTCCTCTAAGATTTTGAAATTTACATGGGCATAAACAAC